ACCTATGCGCCATGTTCACACGATGAGCGCAATTGGCGATTGGCCCGGAGGGTCTGTGTGCGTGGCATCTTTCAGCCCTGACATCAAAAATTTCTGCACTGATATCGCACCTAAACAACAATAAGTCATCAAAAAAAAAGTGCTATGAAGTGCAATTTGCTCTAGGGTTGGGCATCGCCAACGCTTCGATTTAGTAATCAAAAATTGTTATACAGACAAGTAAAACTTGTAGCAGCACTAGCAGCGATTTTTGGGTAATAGGCAAAAGATACCCTAACAAACATGTGGCTACGCATATTAGTCGCCTATATCGTTTGCGCAGGCGCCTACAGTTTATGCTCGACCGAAAATTACACAACAAAGACAACATACAAGAAAATGGGATGAGGAAAATTTAAAGTACCAAAAAATAAATAAGCACTCGGCTCTAAAAACACCAAAAGAATCTGCTTAATTGTTTAATTTTAAATTTTATATCATTTGGTTGACCAGCGCCATTTCGTTGCGGCTCGTTTACTGCTGTTTTTCCTTCCGCTTGCGCTGTAGCAATTTACGCAGCATATTGAAAGAGCTGAGCACCGGCACCATGACGGGCAGAAAGAGTGGTATATATATGGCATATTTCTGCTCATCGGGAAAGTATAGCTGCGCCAGTAAACTGGCATCAAAGAAGCCGCGCTCCGAGGCCACAAAGGCGCGCTTGGCCAGCGCCGAAGCATCCAGTAAACGATGCTCGAGTAGGGCGGCCTTGGCAGCCAGAATGTCAACATAGGAATTGGTTATGGCGGTGGCTACGTTGTCGTCAATCACAATGTAGCTAATTTGGTCTGCAAGCAGGGAGTGCATTAGAGCATAACCATATAAATTATGAGCCATTTAATCAGATTAAGTGCCTTACCTAGCAACTTAATGAGACTCTGCAGCGTATTACTGGCCGTGGCAATGTGCCGTATGGCGCTGCGACGCATATAGGATTCATATTCCCAGCGCCTGGGGGCCAACTGTTCGATGTCTACCGTTTTAACGCCCGCCATTTGCACCTCATTGCTGATGTCCAAGAGCTTGTGCAGCTGATCCAGCATCACCTGCATATTATCATTGGTGTTCACATAAAAGGCCAGCGGCGGTTCATTATTCACATGAGCCAGACACACGCGCTCGGGCGGATTGGCTATTATAAAACCGCCCCAGGGTGGCGATATAAAGGCATCGACACCGTCACGCGTCAGCATCTCGTTCTTGCTGTTGTATATGTGCAGCGGTGCGGTGCTGCAGGGCGCTATATACACAACCAGATTGATGACAGGCTTGTCCGTTATGCTAGCGCTCAGATTTTGTGCAATGGATGTGAGCAGGTGCGGCAACGCCGACTCCTGCAGTGCATAATGGCGACCCAATTTGCTTTGGTCTCGCACCTGCTTGACTTCAGCCTCAATTGCAACACGATATTTCCACTGCGTGCGCACCGTGTAGCTGGATATGTCCGATATCTGCGCCAAGAAGGGCTCTATATAAGCTGGAATTCAAATTGATTAGCGCGGAATCAATAAACTCTGGCCGTACACTTACTCTGCGCAGCCAAGGCCACATTCCACTGAGCATGTGTTAGTCTAGGTTTGGGATTTAGCACGGATATAACAACATCATAGGCGGGCTGTGGTGCCTCTGACTTAGCGCCCAAGCGCTCATCAGTGCTCAGTATCTGGTTGATGCGATAGGTTTGCAGTATTTTTGAATGCAACAGTTGTGCCAGCTTATTTGAAGCTAAACAAGAACAGAATAAAATTAGTGTCTAGTCAAATTTCGCTGACTAGGATATACGCTGTTCAAAGCGACAAGCTTTACGAGGTCGGAAGAGCCTTTGGCATACAGACTTCGAAATGCGTACAGACAATTACATCCCAACAAGCAACTTACTGACATCGCTGCGCATTAGCGCCGATCGCTCCGTGGTTAGCAGCAGTTCATCTTCCAGCCTGGGCCACTCAATGAATATAAAATCGCCCACGCTCTGCGGATGTGCTTGCAGCAGCAACTTTTCCAGAGCAGCCGGCGTATGCGCCTCGGCAGCCTTGGCAAATGGCGACAGCTGCTTGAACTCCACGTTCCAGATATCTAAATGGAAATGGTCAGTGACTGCTCAACTGTGTATGTGTGTGTGTGTGTGTGGGTTGATGTGTAATGTGCTTTTACCGCTGTCGCTGAATGCGTTTTGCAGCTCTGTAATGAGCAGCTGGGCGCGACTTGGCTGCTGTGTGTAGATGGCCACCTGTACAGCTGTTTTGATGGGTTGGTCACTTAGGCGCTGAATCGCCGAGGAAGGCAAATTGACTCTTTGGAAGAGAACGTAAATTTAGATAATCTTCATTTAAATACAGTCAAGGCTCTGCTAATGAAATGGAGAACTCCTTTAGTTTGACAAATTATTTAGTTCCATTCTTTTTGCTGATTTCAGCGAACATCACGAAAATGAGTCGAAGAGTGGATGTGTTCTCCAAAGCGAGCTTTCACTGTAGCATGCTGGGATGACTCACCTGTAGACAGTAGTTGTTTTCCACCACATGGGCACGCCAATACCCACAATGACCACAATGAACGCAATCGTGGCAGCGATGCGATATTTGTCTGCAAATGGAAAACATAAAAATTAAAGCATTTTAATTGAATTGTTTTATAAATTGTGCGCCTATCGTAAGGTGTGCATTTAAAAGATAATTGTTGTATTTTTGTGTTTCTTTATACAATCACTTTATTGGGCATTTCTCTTAGTGCTTTTCTCACTTGAATACAAACAACATTCACGCAAGTCTTTAGTAAACTTAAGCAGAAAAAACATTTGTGCACTGCCAGTCTAAACAACAAATTGTGGCTAGTACGTGCGGCGGCATTTTTGGGAACATTTGCTTGTAATTATTCCCTATAGCTGCAGGATATTACAAACACTGGCCCCTTGTCCAGCGGGGTGTTGCGCGAGACGTATTTGGTGAACTTGGTGGTGCCTTCGCAGCGATAGACAATATTTAAGGCATTGTCCACAGGCGTTATTGTCAGCAGCACCGAATCATCGTGGCACTCCTCCTCCTCCTCCACCTCATGCTCATCCTGCTCAATGCTATGGTCGCCATCGGCAACCGGATCTAAGCCATTCTCATGAGCAGCGCGCTGCTCTACCTCAGGTGAGAGATATGTAATGACCGCCGCGCCTTCCGCTGCATTTAGATAATAGACCAAATCGAGTGTGTTCTCCTCGCTGACCAGGCCATCGCCCAGCACCGTGTAGTTGCCGTGCGACCAGCGCTGTAGTTCCACGCTGCAAGTGGGCGTTATGGCATCGACACCATACAAGTCCAGATCGGTGAAATCACGCAGTAGCTGGAACATGGCATTGCTGCGAAACAGCTGTAGCAGCTCCTGAACTGTGCCCTTCGCGCTGCTCAGATCCATCAGCTCGTAGTTGTGCGCATTGGCGGGTCCTTGTCGTCGCCATGTGAGCGAATCATCGTTCAGGAGTTGCGCGCGTGCTAATTCAAATTTTTCGCGCTTGAAGAATTCATACAAGCAAATCTCTGAATTCTCCTCGATGCGTTTTTGTATGCTGCGACGCGTGGCGTCTTTTAAGTACACATCGTTCAGCAGCAATCCCAATTTGGGTTTGTTATTGATATCTGGCTGCAGGTAGCTGAGGCGGGGAAAAGCGCGCGAAGAGTCCGCGGCGAAGGCTTCATTGGTGGCGCCATGAAACCAGCCATTGATGGTCAGCCGTGGATAATCATAGGTGGTCACCTCGCCCACCTGGTGAAAGGAACGTGAGCCGACTTTAAAGAATGCAAACTGATTGTTTTTGGGTGCAATCTTCCGCTGCACCGGAAATTGTGGATAGCACTGATCATCGCTGGAAAAGATTTCTAAGCAGCCACCCTGCTCCTCGTTCCACTCCTCAATGCCCTGCCAAGGCGACATATAATAGATAAAGGCTATTTGCCTATCCTTAAGCAGATCATCGTGCACCAGCAAGTAGTCGCCACAGCTGTACATGCTGCACGAGGCGGATACGTAGTCCAGCTTTAGATTTGTTATCTCCTCTAGCCAGGGTCGCACTTGTTTTCGCAGCAACTGCAGGAAATTGGCAAGCAGCCTGCACTCGAGCATATTGGATAGATCGGTGCTCTGGTAGAACTCATACAGATCCATTTGCTTGCGCGACCAGTGCACTTTGTTGATCATTTCGTGCACCAGAGCCGGGGGGTTATTCCTCTCTAGCAGATCAGGCAGTAGGCATATTTGAAATGGTTCTCCACAGATCTGTGCACCCGTTGTCTCTTCCTTTGTGCTTGGCGCTTGTTTAGCCCATGCGGACTGCAGCCATTGCGTCACATCCTTTTGTAGATAAGCTTTATTCAGAGTTAACTCCACGTCCGCGTCGCCTGCACCAGCAGCTGCGTCCACAGATTCGCCAAGCCGCGCCAATTTCTTTTGTGGACCTTCTTCGCGGTGCGCCGATTCTGTGTCCACGAGTTTGTCTGCAAGGGCAACACAATGAATGACATTGCATTAAGCATTTAAATAGAGGGGAGGCATACCTTAAATTTTAATGTATGGCCGCGCACACCTAAACACACGCACACACACGGGCGACTCGTTGTGCCGGCACATTTTTACATTTACACGCTGTTCTTGGCTACTTAAATGCAGATACGTATGCTTCCACTCACCTTCGGTTTTATCTTTGCGCTTGGGCTTCAAGGGACTAGTCTGTTCCATGTTGCGTATATTTTAGAATTAAATTTTAACAAAATTAACCAAATGTAACATGTACATAGAGCGTCTGTAGCAAAAACATCGATGCATATTACTACCAAAAAAAAAGAATCGATTAGCATCGATAACAAATGCGTGACGCAAAAGTGAGGCAACAGTACAAAAAAATGAGCTTAACAGTGCCTTTTAACCGATCGTTCCACTTGCCACTTCGTTTCAATTTGTTAATTGTGTAGACTGTTGTCTGCAGTGGTTCTTACTTCCACGTCCAAATGATTTAATTAATCATTCTACAATAAGCAGCAGGCACAATAATGTTTGTTTGAATTCATGTGCTTGTATTATAGATATTAGCAATTATAGAGTGTTAAGTGATTAATTTCTAAAAACCTGTATTAAATGTTAGAACATCAGTCGGTAAGTGCATATGAATGAGAAGTTGAACTATTTTTGGTGAAAATTGGGTGGCAATGCCGTGCGATGACCTTGGAAGAATAGGCCCTAAATACAACACGTTTATAAAAACAAACATAAATTATGTATGCGTGTGTGTGTATGTGTTCACCATCGGAATGTGCGCGATCTGGAACGTGCGCTGATGCGTTTACAGTGGGCCAAACAGCTGACTGCCACCTGATGAGGCGGCGAGGAAGACCTGTTTACACCGAAAGGGTGTGGGCGGTGTGGGGTGTTGCTATGATCTCATTCTTATAAATTTTGTATTTTTGTTAATTTTCTTAAAATAGCTTTCAAAGAACTCCAATGGGCAAGGATCAGCATTTACTCGAAGCAGCTCGCAATGGGGATATAAAAATCGTTGGCAAATTGTTGGAGCTGACGACCAAGCGGTATGGCCCACTGTCCAGGTGAGTGCAAATTGTTGCAAAGCACAGTGAAAACTCTCATAGCGGACAGTTCACATATAAAAAGCATTTTCATTGCTAAACGCTGCGATAATCAATGAAACATAGAGTTTATTTTTGGATCCAATCCATGTTGAGGCAGTCCTCTATAAATACATATTTTTAACCACAGTGGACTGATTAACCATTTATTTAAATACCATAAGGCGTGCATATGAATGGGACCGCAAAATACAGTATATATAATAGATTCATATGTCTAACTTTGTTTTTAATAAGAAATACAATACACAAGCAATCGGCATAGTATATATATATATTCTCTTCTTTCAATAATCCTATTTCATGGTACCTTGTGCGTAGGGAATCATATAATGCTATTGACAGCTTAAATTGAATAAATATAAATTGTAATTCTTTCATAAGAGGATGTCGCGACGTATCGTGTCCAGTTATCGGAGCTTTCACTGTATTTATATAAAAAAAAACTCGAGATTTGATTATTGCTCTCCCTTTAGTTTCCGTCGCAGCCCCAATATCAACTGCCAGGATGTCAACGGTTACACCTCGCTGCATCACGCCTGCCTCAATGGACACAGCGCCATTGTGCGCCTGCTGCTGGCCCACAATGCACAGGTAGATGTGCCCGATGTGCGCGGCTCGACGCCGCTTTTCTTGGCCTCCTGGGCTGGCCATCAGGATATTGTGAAAATGTTGCTCTTTCACAGCCCCATGCCGGCCAATCCCAACGCACAAACAATTGAGAACGAGACGCCGCTGCATTCGGGCGCCCAGCATGGACACAATGCCGTTGTGGCCATACTCCTGTCATATGGCGCTGATCCCACCATACGCAACAATAGCTTTCAAACGGCTCTAGACTTGGCTGCCCAGTTTGGACGGCTGCAGGCGGTGCAAACGCTGCTGCGCGTAGATCCCGATCTGATAGCACCCTATCGTCGTTATGTGGAGGATGACAACCTGTCCGAGCTGCTTGGATATTCCAATCATAACGCCACGCCCACCAAGCACATCTTCACGCACACTTGCCTGCATCTGGCCAGCCGCAATGGTCACAAAAAAGTGGTAGAAACGCTGCTCGCGGCTGGCGTTGACGTCAACATACTCACCCACGCGGGCAGCGCGTTGCATGAGGCAGCGCTCTGCGGCAAGAAGTCGGTGGTGGTTACGCTACTCAAAGCTGGCATCGATGTGCATGCCACAGATGGCAATGGACGCACTGCACTCGAAATACTCGCCGACTATCCGCCACACGTCACCTACGAGATTGTGGCCGTCATCAACGGTTTGTGTTTCGATTAATTATATTCTTGCAGTGGGTATTTACATTTTCTCACGAAATGAGTTCCGCATAGTAGGGAATATCTGCGATCCCATCCAATAATATATATTCGTAACAGCCATGTCCATCTGTTTGTATGCAAGGTATTTGTGAAACTAGTCTCACTATATATCTCACTATGCTCCCAAAGTATAAAATCTGCCACCATATAACTTCTATAACTACTATACTTCTACTGTATACATATACAGTAAAAACTCTCTTGGGCGGACAGCGACATGCGTGTAATTATTGTCTGGAATGCCCGCCTGATAGAGGGCGAATGGGTGCGGTCTAATTTATAATGGGACGGTGCCTAATATACGTGTCCGTTAGAAAAGTTCTCACTGTACGCAGCTCTCACTATGGGCAATCTGTAATTTGTACTTTATAGCTAAACTGTTTTTGTCTCTAAGGGTATTCAATCTTCGGCAGCTTGAAGTTAACTTCTCTTTAATGTTTCAAATTCTAACGAAATGCTAACGCCTACGCATTTACTTTCAGAATTTACAAATTTGGCTGAGGCGCAGCTGTTGCGCAGAAACCAGACGCAGCTGGTCAACCATCTGGTTATGGAGAATGGAACCGAATCTGCGCTGCCCAAGCGTCTCTATGAAAAGAACATACAGCGGCCGAATCAAGCCAAGCTAAGCGATCAATCGAAGCTGAGGAAGTAAGCCAACGCACTAACTGACTACGTGACACGCCCACACGCCCCCATGTTACTGTTGTTGTTCTAATTGTGAACTCAATTAACCATCAAACGCAAGCAGCACTAATTTGTATGTGTGCTCAGATCAGATCAGCTCTGCTCCAGATCCAGAACTCATGCTCATGGCTCGGAATTCATAGAACTCATACCGAACTCACGCACCCGCACGCACACCCACCATTCACACACTCACACACACACACAAGTACACACACGCACGCACGCACTAGCACACATCAGTTCAGAATTGGTTGGTAATATCATTTTTTATCGAAGCGCCTTCATATAACGGTTTTGGTCTTCTTTTTTTATCTCTTTTCCAACTACTTTCAACCACTACCCCGCCACAAAAAAAAACATCCCTAACCCCTAGAAAGCAAGACCATCCACCAAATGGACTTTCGCACTCTTTAAGCTCTTTGGACAATTACACCAAACGGCCAGCAAATTATTTGGACATGAAACCCATACGGCCACAAAAGTCGGTGAATGATGTGCACAATTTGGAGCCGCGCCAGGAGCTGTGGATCAGCTATAAGCCCGTCTATCAGCAGCCATACCAAAGCGCTCTACTTCAGTCGAGCAATAGTTTTTCAAATGCTTCCATACCCTCTCGTTCCTATGAATACATTAATCTGCTCAAGCCCAGCTCCAGCAGCGAGGAGCAGAGCCTCAACAGCACAAGCTGTAAGTGTTCCCATTAACTCTTGTCATGTTTTAGTTAATCCACTTCCTTGCCTCCACAGCTGCAACGCCCCAACGAGCTGCGCCTCAGTATGTGGAAATGAAGCTGCAATCTCCAGTGCCCATGCCACGCACTCACATAAATACTGACTACGAAAACCTAAAGCCCAGGATCAGCGAGCGTGTGATGTCCAGCTCTCATATAGATAGCAATAATAATAACAACAACAAGATTGTTTGTCATTCGCCCACGCCCGACTATCCGCCACCCACTGTCGTTGAGGCCGAGACGACAATTTTTAGTTTCATGCAGCCGCCACGCCTGGACGACTCCACGGGCACAACGAACTCATATTGCTCGGATCATGTGGAGGAATTTGTGGGTGACATGCCCTTTGCGGGACTCTTTAAGGGCTCTACTTTGAATTTGGCACAGGACGTGTTGGATGGACGCGGCCTGCGTTCGCCCAGCATGGTGAGATCCGTGAATGCGCTCAATCCACGACGCAGTCTGTCCAAGCAGCGCTTCTCCACAACTGGCGAGGATTTTAGCGCCTCACGCGTCTGGGCTGAGATTGATACTATCTTTGAGCATATCGGTAATGAAGTATCCACGGTGGAAAAGGAACAGGAGCATGAGCCTGAGCAGGAGCCGGATACGAATGAGGTGGACATGGAGCAGCAGTCGGATCTGCAAAGTAAGCTATTACAGCCAAGCTCTCTGGAAGATCACAGACAATCGCTACACATACGCAATCCAGAGGAACTGCTGCTGGGTCAAACACCGAGTCCGGCTTCCCATTGGTGCCATTCGCCCTATACGCTCGTCTACGGCGAAATACGCTACTCCGTTTATGTGCGTATATCTCTTATATATATTATAATGACAGCTGCTAAAGCATATATTCCTGCAGTATCTGGGCTCAACTGTCATAAGGGAGCTGCAGGGCACCATTTCGACGCGCAAGTCCATTCAGAAGCTTAAGATCGATGAAAAACTGAAGTCAGCATCAAGTGTGAGTGACATTAGTCTGCTGGAAAACTGCACCACGTCGACAAAGTATCTCAAGGCAGCCAATCTGCAGACGCGTCTCAAGGTGGACATTGCCGCCTCCTGCCTTGGCGTCAAGTTTATAGATCATGAGTCAAAGGTTGCCTATCTCAGTTTTCTTAAATCCGCAATAAATAATAATCAATAATCCCCTTTACAGACTGCCATCTGCTCGCATAATATTGAGAACATCAATTGTGTTTGCCAGGATGCGGAGGACATGCGTTACTTCGCCTATATAACCAAAGAGCGGGATCTGCATTACTGTCATGTCTTTATGGTTGACAATTTGGTTTGTTTCTTGAATATGCTTATAAAGCGAGTGTATGCTTTAATTTCTGCACCATTACAGGAGCTGGCCAACGAAATAATCCTGACTCTGGGCCAGGCTTTTGAGGTTGCCTATCAATTGGCCCTGAGCAGGCAGAGCACACCTTTAATACAGAGCGATGAGTGCTAAACCGTGTGCCACAAGCATTATGCATTATAAATCATATTTAATCTTTACGCCATTTGTTTTGTATTTTTCTATTTGACTTGCTAGTCGTTGATGCCATCATAAAACTGTCATTATTATTTTAAATGAACACGCAGTTTAATAGTATTTTTTTCAATAAATAACTGGTTTTAAAGCCAACTGCCAATTGTCTCTTTTTATCGATAAGCGTGTACTCAACATGATCGATGCTCATAACAAGCATCGATACTTTACTGTATATTGCGCGCATAATGCATGTTAAATAACATTCGCTCTACATTAGAACATTTTGAACGCAACGAAGATAAAAGACGCTTGAATTGTGTGCAAGAATTTGTGGTAAAAAAAATTATGGAAATAAGCACAGGTAAATACATATAGGGCTTTGTTGTTGTCTTATTGTGTTAGAAATAACCACATTCTATTGAAACTAATACACAGCAACTCAAATTGATGGCGTCCTGCTGCCGCAGGAATCAGCGCCTGCAGGCGCCACCAATACGCCTGTGGCGAAAAAAACACGACGCGCCGTGCAAAAAAAGCTAAATGAACAGAAACTAGATAATGACAGTGTGCTGGAGGATGATGTGTTTATGGCGGCACCGAAAACTCCCACTGCTGCCATCCGTCTGGCCAGTGAGACGCCGCGTCGCAGCGCCCGCAAGAGCGTGCGTCCGGCAATGGACTATGGAGATATTGTGGAAAGGCATCTGATGTGCTCGGCCAGCAAGGACAAAAAGGACCCGACTGCTGTCGAGCAGGAGGAGCACGAAGATCAGCCGGTACAGAAATGGACGGCTGCCGAAGTGGGTCGCCATTCGCGCAAGCGCAATCGCAAAACCAAACGCGTGGGCAACAAAAAGGCAAAAACAGAAGAGGAAAGTGGCGATAGGGAGGAGATTAAAGAACGGGCGGAGCAGCTGGAAGTAACAGTGACTGCCACTGCAGAGCTTGCCAAAGCAGACTCTGTCACAGAAGAAGCAGCCACAGCAGACGCTGCCGCAGCAGAAGCTGTCACAGTGCCGCCACAGCCCAAGGACAATGATGCAACACAATCCCCTGTTGGAATCAATAATAAGTCTCTTAAGGCAACTGCAGCCGAGATTGAGTTGGCACTGTGTCCGGAGATAATTGGAAACGCTGTTGCAGCTGCAGCTGCTCCTATCCAGGAGCCAGATGCTGCAGTTAAGGCACACCAAGCAGTTAGAGTTAGAGCCGTAGATATGGATGAACTGGGCTTGTGCCCGCTGGATGCCGAGGAACCCCTCACCGAGGACGATGAAATGCCCACACTAGTTGTGGACGATGATGATGGCGAGCCCGAGAACGCCTTAAATAGAACCTTTGATGCTGAAGATCAGTCAAGTGTGGATAAAGATATGCCCACATTAAATATTTTTAAACAAAAATCGGACGATAAAGAACCAAAACAACCAGACGTAGACATGAGGAGCCCCTCTTCCAGCAAAGCCTATCGCTTCCCCACACCCTTCAAATGCAAATCCAAGCCGAAATTCCAATTCACAACCAGCCCAACTGCATTCCCATTGACTGCGCAAAGCAACAACAACACCAACAACTTGGAAGTGCCTCCCGCTTCACGACGCAAGCGTTCCAAATCTGTATCCGGACTGAACGAAACCAAGGCCAAGACAGTCTCCTTCTTCAGTCCCATCGAAGTGACCGTTGTCAGTGAAATCGATAAACGCTGGGATGCACTCAACAACAGTCGTAAGTACTGGAAATGGCATTCTATCTCTTTATATAACCGTAAGACCTAGGTTGAAATTTCTACATTAAATACTCATGTGATCTAAGTGTACGCTAAGGCGTCCTATTTTTGGATATTCCGCCCGCTTTTTTGTTTACCATCCGATCGGCTTTACAAAATCTTTGTGCGACCGTGGCTTAGATTTCAATTAAAACTAAAATATTAATGACTAGCTTTCAAAATGAGTTTAAAGCCAATCGTAGATCAATTTAACTGTTATACGTACAGCTTTTGACCTCTTTTTCCCTTTTGCCAAAAGGGAAAAACCTTAAATTCGAGTTTGGGGTCCGCTTAATGAAAAGAAAGAAAAGTTGTACTCAACTTGCAAATTACAATTTTCCAACCTTCGTAAACCCTCAAATCGTTTTTATTTACATCACAAAAGGTAGTTAATCATCAATCAGTCAGTCAATCAATCAATATATGGGGACAAATAGTTTAATATATATTAATATCTGTATATATTTCAATTTCTAAATTACCATATGCTCTTTTCTTCAGACGTCACACAGCGTCGCAAGCGCTCAAAATCCTTGGATGAGAGTCGACATCAAGTCAGCCGAATTCCTAAGCCGAGTAAGCCCAGTAAGCATCATCAGCTAATTGACATAAGATTCTATAAGCTTCTATTCTTCCTTTCCTGCCAGAACAATATCCACCTATAAAGGCCGCAGTGACGCCCAGCAAGCTGAAGGCCCGCACCAAGCTACCCAATTTCGCGGCCATACATCAGAAGCACTTCGAAAAAATGGAGAATCTGGTGGAGCACATAGAGCGCAAGGCGGTGCGCGCCAAGGTGCTGACCAACTCAGCCGTGAAACAGCAACAACAAACAATTGCCTCGGCGCAAAAGTCGGTAGTCAAGAAGCTGGCCCCAGCTGCAGAGCGTTCGCGTGCCTTCAAGAAAATCGATGTGCCCAGCTATACTCTAACGCCCTTGAAGCCGGAGGAGCTGAAGCGGCAAAAGCAACTGCCGACGCCACGTAAAATTGTGGGCGTGGCACAGCCGAAGTCCGTAATACCGATACGCTCTGCCCTGGCGGGCAACAATCCAAAGCCGGCATTCAATTTGTCCACCGCGGTGGCGCCCAAGTTGTTCATTCCGGCTCCAAGCGCGGCGTCCGGCCAAAATTTAAAAACCGGGGAATCGAAGCTAAATAAACTGGAGTCACGTCGCCAGCGGCACATGGAGATGTTTAAGGGGCGCAACGTAGTGGAGAAGAGGGGTGAATTTATACGCGGGGTGCGCTCTAATCGACGCTTCGAGCTGCAAATGCAACATCGTCGCCAGTTGGACGAGAACACGGGTTGATTATTGTCCAAATTTCATTTATTCATATTTTATAGTCTTTTATTAATAACTGTTTGTATTCGCTTTTATCCTGTTCAATTGAATAAAATAATCTATTTAATCCGGGCTAGGCGTTAAGTATTTACGACCAAAACCCAATGACTAAAAATGAAGGTCTTAAACATTTTCAAGTGCAGTTCAACAATACATTACAATAAATCTGTTCAAAACTTAACGTATTTGCAGTCCACTTCAAACGATGTATAGACACCGCACATAAAATTCACCACACCTATCGATAACTTTGATAGCAGCCCAACCTTATAATCGTTTGTTAGAAGCGCAAAATCGAGCAATCATGTAAACATGTTGCCAAGCGACGCGCTGTGCGTCAACGCCACATTGTTGTGCAACATTGGGTTTGTTATTGTGAAGATCGTTGTCGTAGCGTGCGGTCGGTGAATCGGGATTGCGCGCCGTTTGTTGTTTTATCATTACCGTTATTAATTCGCAAAATTGAAAAAAAAAACAGCCCAACGCGCGTTATTTATTGTTGTTTTGTGTGTGTGCCAAATCGAAATTGGAGTTTTATCAAAATAATCTAATTTATTGCTGCAAAGAAGGTACGCAGTGCAAATAAACAATAATACGAGCAACAATAATAATAAACAAACGCAGCAATTTTGCCGCTTGTTTTGTTGTTCTTCCTGCCGGATATTAAAAACGCTTCTTAGCTTTATGCGTTTGTGTGTGCATTGTTAATGGACTTTTTGTTGGCGTAATGCATAAATATTTGGAAAAACTCGTTTCGTGTGGGAATACAGCACACACACATATGCATATTGCTGGCCTTTGTCGCTTTTTTTCGCATTAAATACGCTTCCAGTCGCATCTTTCGCATATTCCAAAAAAAAAGAGACTCTTCATAGTGAAAGCGAGAGCGAGATAGGGCGATCGCACCATATGTGCCGGGAGTAGCAGCAGCAGTAACATTTTGCATTGACATTTATGAGCGGCGCTAACGGCGCTTTACACATGCTTGTATATCCGCGTTTGTGTGTGTGGACATTCATATGCGCACGAATCATTCACAGTTTGAATGCGTCTTCAATTCGTGCATGTGTGAGTATGCGCGTGTGTCGCCCTTCTTGGGCGTTTCGCCGGGCGTTTTTGTGGGCTCGCGCAGGTAGCGGCAATTGGTTTACCGTTTATGCGTGTATTGTTTACTGTGGGCTCTGCTTTAACACGCTTTTCATTGTGGAAATTTGTGCGTATTTCCGCGCATGCCCAACAGCCTATGGGAATTTGTAATGGAAATAAACGCGCAAGCACACACAATCGCATGCGTGAATACACACACACACATACGCCTTTTCACATGTTGCACTTTTAATTGATTTGCTGACGCGCCCGCGCGTAAGTCCAAGCAGCCGTAGCAGCAGCTGTTGGAAATGTGTGGAAGAATTTCCGTTAATCCATTTACTTCCAATGCTCAATTTTGAATAGTCCATTAAATGTTTGCATATTGGATTATTTTTTTTCTGTAATATTCTGATTTTATATTTCCTTTAAAAGTAGTGCAGTGATACCTCGATAATGCAAACTTACCGTTGTAAAAAAGCAGATAAAAAAGTATAGGTCATTCTGTACTATAACTGTATATGCGTAGTTACATTTAAAATTTACTTTAAATAATGTAATAGGTATTTAACAATTTAAGTATTTAATGGGAAGGATTCCTATTTCCGGAAAGACTTAATTTTCATTTCCAAGTAATTTTTTTTTGTAATATGACACAGGGGAGGCCCGAAAATGTAAATTTTTGAATAGAAATAGAATCAGAGTTTTCAATGAATGGGATTTTCCTAGAACCAGAAATGTTTTTTAAGACATTTGTTGTCTTTTAGATATTTTGGATATACCTATGTAAAAATAGTTGCATTTATTATAGGTATAACCCTTTAGATATTCCAAATATATCCACCCTTATAGCTCCATAATTTAACTATCATTTGATTGTAATTTGGTTTCTTATATGTATATACATTTTGACTATTTAGATATACTTGGGAGGCAGTACTCTTGACGGCTTTAGAAACATACAATCTCTGAAATATATGCATAAAAGCCTACTAAACCCTGCGCTTTCCCTTTCTTATCTTTGCAGTGTCGAAAAGTAAACCGAATCCCCGTAAAAAAAGCAGCAAAAACAACACGTAAATCGAGTCTCGCTAATTGGTGACATAATTTTTCATAACTGGCAAAAGAAATATAAAAAAAAAGCCGACACATAATTGAATTTTAGCTCTGGTCAAGTACCGAGCGCGACTTGAACTAATTTGATGTGACGAGGTTTAATTTTTGTGTTATTTTTTGCGCGCTTTGTGCCGTTAATTGAGGCCACTTCACTAAATAATTCAAATAGCAATTTATGTCTAGCCGTGTGTCCACTGTACTTGTCTCTCACAATGTGGACCAGAAAAGCCGCTGAATGTGAAATGTGCCGCCACGTTTGCTGGCAAATGTGCGTCTTGTTGTCGTTCATGTTGTTGGGGGCGGCATTGGGTGCCACGCCCTTTGCCAAGGAATATCGGAGCGCGGGTCTGTTTAAAGGCAACACGCTAATCGATATGGAATTGGATGCAGCCACAACACTGGACATGGGCGTCGAGAAGCTATCGAGCAGCAGCGGAGTAGTTGGAGAAGTATCAAGTTCGGGTGCGGATAATATCCTGGGCTTCAAGGCGGAATCTTCGGTGGTGTTGCCGGGCGTGCAGCTTAATGCAGGTGAGTGAATGTGGCTAATGTTAAAGTGATGCATAATGTTTATGTTAAAGTTCATGTTCAGGGCAATGTTTATAGTAATGTTAATTGGAATGACAATTTTAAGACTAGGAAGATGCTGTTGTCATTAATGTTAATGTTAAAGTAAAGCAAACCGTTAATGTTTAGGTGGATGCTAAAGGCTACTTTAATGTTGATGCAAACATTTCTGTTAATGCGAATGTTATTGGTAATGTTCATGTTATGTTTAAGCAAAGCATACCGTTAATGTTAAGGTGCATGCTAAAAGCTACTTTAATTTAAATGCAAACATTTATGATAATGCGCATGTATTGTTAATGTTCATAGTTATGGTAGTATTAGTAACTTGTGCTGTTGTTGCTTACATCTTTTGCTTGAAATGAGGTGAACTATGAGAATCGCTAAAGGACAATCGCAATGTGTTGAAAACTCGTTAAACTGTTAATAGCTTAAAATCTTAGCTTAAAAAACCAGGCTTTAACATATTTTCTCCAATTTATAAAAATTGGGTTGACTCAACAAGATCTTAAGCAGGATCTCGTTAAAAAGTTATTTTGTATATATCATATCATCTAAAACAAAGGGTACAAAATATCACCTCGAAATGTCGCTTACTCACCAGGTAATCAGCTGCCAACGAAAAAAAGTTAACATTTAATCGTGGCACAATTCCGAAAGCCCAAAATTTACGTCCGTAAGCGTCAAAGTGCTGCACAGCTATAATTTTGTACAAAAATATGAAGAGACAGATAGAGGCTGAGTGTGAAAGAGAGGGAGGGAGAGAGAGGGTGTAAATTAGTGAGTGAGGCAGCAAGATGACGAAAGTACTTTCATTTTCACGCTCATAAATGGGGCCTCGCGCATAAAGCCCGAAAATGTTGTCATAAAAAGCGACGTAAGTTAAGCCGCTTAAATGACATTTAAATAAATAAGAGACGTGCGGCGGGGCGGACGGTAAAGAATAGGCCAAAGACTCATGTAGAAAGGTAAAAACAAAAACAAACCTAGGCACCCTTTCACTGAACAGGAGCGCTGAAGCGTTTTCTTTGTCTGCGGCCACAGGAAGTTGGCACTTTGGTTCCGAGTTCCAAAAAAAAAAACCTTATAAATCCCGAGAGAGACGACTCGGTCAGAGACAACAATCGGGACCAGCACACGTCTGGCTGTGATTACACTTTAATCTCGTTATAATGAGGCAACAGAATTTCAAGCAGCGGATGTGCCGAGCGTGCCGCAGTCTCGAAAGCGTTAAGCTGCGGTTGACATCCTGGATGCCCCAGCTGGGCACCAGCCCAGCCCAGCCCAAGCCAGCCAACCATCGCTCAAGTGGAGGCCCAGAGCTATTGAGTTACCAGAAGAGAGTCCACGTTGAGGGAGAATGGAAACAAAAGACACAGATAAAAAATGAAAAGAAATAAAAACAACACACACGGAAAACTGAAAAAGAGCAGACAACAAATGCACTTGTTGGGGGCAATTTTTTGAAATATGATGCCACGCCAAGGCGCAGGTCATAAACAACCGAAAGACAGCCGAACAACCCGAACGAGACGGCAAAGTGTTGTAAGATAAGGTTAGATAAGCGCCGGCCCCGTATACCTGAGACACACAAATTTTGAATGGCCCAAGATCAGAGCTGGAGCTGGACTTGGAAGCGTTTCCTCGGGCCCATTCGAGTGCGGCACAGCTCAAAGCATACAAAAAACGAGCTGAAATTGATAAGAAGTCCATGAATGGAAGTGCTATTTGAAGAACAGAGTGTGGAAAATTTGTTGCAGTGTATTGGGTATATTCACAAATATTTTCATATATATGAGAAAAGAGTTAAGTGAAGTGGGAAATATATTTCCTAATAACCAAGAGAAACATAATACGAATATAGTTTGAAACAAGGCAGAAAAGTCATTTAAATTAGTTTATGTGAGTACGCCTCACTTAGACCGAAATGAGTCCATTGTGGTGCCACAGCGGACTGACCAACCTCCGGTTTTCCTAGAGACCAAAGGAAGAATAGAAAAGGATGAAGCTAAAAAACGAATGAAGCATAAAATGAGTTTGGGTCTTTGGTTGGGAGATCTAATAGATCCACAAGGAAATAGGTTCCAAGGAAACTGAATCTAGTTTTGCATAGAGCTGGGCAAATGCAGACGAGATATTCATCTGTCCTTTCCTCTTCCTCATCGCAATAATTGCTGCAGAAGTCGTTTTGAGGGGTTAAGAGTCCAGTAATGGCTCGGTCGAGTGCTGCCTTTCGGCCTTTATAGCCAATTAAACTTTTCAGCACTCGACCGAGCCATTACTAGGAGGAATTATATATATGTATAAATAAAATGTACCCTATGATATTTAATTGAACTCAGCATTAAGTTAACATTACCTTTAACATTTGCAGTAACAATAGCTTTAAATTAAACATTAGTAGTAAGCAGTTGACAAAATATGAAAGCCAGATTCATCTTAACAAAATCACAAATAATTCTGTGGATTTGACAATAAAGGTAAACCAGCAACATTAACATCACTTTTAACATTACAAATAACATGAGCTTTAAATTGAACATTAATGTTTATATTAAAATTTCATATTAAGAGTGTCAATTTATAATGCTAGAGTGTCTAACACTCTTAACACTCTATTATCATAAAATGGTTTAGTCAGACTGGTTAACTTTAATTAAGTTTAGGCACAGGAGATAATCTCTGTTACCACAGGAATGTTGCTCGAAGAATTTCCGTTTGGGCAATGCTATTCGCTATAAAATCCAATCGTTGGAATAGTTTAGCAAAAAAAAAAAATTCAATGCTCTTGAAGTCAGCATTTGGCCGAATGCAGAGTTAAATTTTCGTCTCTACCTGAGCCCCGATAAATGCTCTCTTTGGTAATTTTCTTGTTTTTTTGGGGCAGATCCGGCATCAGGCAGCAGAAACCATAAAAATGTCTGCAAGGCACGCAAACTTTGGCCCTGGCGGGGACCTGTTTTTGGGATGGCATTCGCTCGGGCTGGGGTACAGTACGCAGGAGTCGCCAACAGATCTTAGCAGGAGGCTGTTGTCTGAGCTCTGAGCTGTGAGCCCTGGTCTCTGGCACTTCAACTCTTCAGAGGCAGCGGCATTTACTTGTATATGCATTTAGATACGTTGAAAGATACTTGGAACTTGTATCTGAGGATGGTTGTGTGTGTGTGCGAATATACATGTGTGTGTGTGTGTGTGTGTGTGTGTGCGTCTATGGCAAACAAAGACAGCCGACAATCGTAAAAACTAAACGACGGGAGTATTTATGACGTTCAGTTTAAACAGTTTATACGGCAGTCTCCCAGTGAGTCTTGTATATGTGTGTGTGTGTGTGTATGTGTATGTGTTGTCTGTGTGTGGATCAAGTGCTAAAGTCAGCGACGAGCGTTCTTTACATTAGATAAGAACCAAGGCTTCCAGCACTTGCACAGGGCATGCAAATGCAAATTCAGATAAAAACAAGTGTAAGAGTATGCACGACTAAGTGATACCCTCTATACAGCTCTTGAGCTGGCGTAAAGTTAATAATAATATATATTGACATACAGAATACGTATACCTACACATGCTCCAATTTATTTCCTTCGCTTTACATCATAGAAAATAAAAAAGGTTCTTGAAGAACTTTAATGCTAACTGTCCGATTGATCTGACATTTTCTGAGCTTAAAGATGACATACCAAGAATTATAGCTATATCTCACATACTTCTGTGCAATTTTGGAAGATGGTGGTAAAGGTTTATAACTGGGGAGATATACTTCATTTGTTTATGCTATATGGAAATATATGGAACTTTGGTGTCCCTACCTTAGACAATCTCTGAGGTCTGCTCAGAAAGTTTTTGCTGCATACCGATATTTATCGATTCTGTGAAAACGGGGAGATGTTTAGAAAAGGTCGTTATCGAAGAAAGTTCTGCGTGTAGTAGACGAAAGCTTTGTGGAATTGACAATGTTTCTTGCTGCTTGTGACATACATTTGCACAAGTTAATTATAGCCCTTTCAACCATTCTATGCGTATAGGGTATTTGAAAAAATCACATCACACAGCTACAAAAGGCCGTTCAAATAAATCAAGTCGGCGCGTCTGTCAGTTACTGCGTCAAAGAGTCAGTCAGTCGCTCAGGTAGCGAATCGAGAACAGCATTGAACTGCCAGCGTAAAGTGCGAAATATCCCACAGTGCAGCAGCAGCACATACACACACACACACACACACACACTCGCACATCAACAGATGCGTTCGTCGTTAACGCTGGCACGCTAATTTGACGAAAGCCCATTTCATGGCGTTTTTCCACATTTCATGCCTGGCGATTCGGCACGCCATGACCACATGCAGCATCCAGCTAGCATCCATCGTGCAACATGCAGCGTGCACCTTGCTGCATCTACATATATCTAGGCATTCACGTATCTGCGTATCTTACAGGTAGTTTTTAACACTCTGCCTCGTCACAACTCATGCTGCTTGCATGATGTGTTCCTAGCATTTTGTTTACACCTTTGCGAAAAAGTCAAAAAAAAAAGAAGAAGAAAACACAAAATAGCAGCGAAGAAGAAAATACGGTTTTCCGTTTCTTTAGCCCATTTCCAAGTAGACTCCTTCGGACAGTCCAATGCAGAAGTTTTGCTTGCCGTGTTTATTTTAGCAGCCATTTGTTGTGGCAATTTATTTATTTTCAATTTTACATACTGGCTGGAAATTGGGCAAGACCATTCTTTATATACATTAAATATAGTATATATATATGTAAACATATTGATTTGTATACATATTTGAGCCCTTTTGCGCCCTGTTCCATTGTTTATATTTGTTGAGTTTGTATGAACTTTGCCGCTTTGTTGTTTACAACATAGTTCAGATCTAATGTCAGCTGTTCGCCGCCAGCCAAAAGCCAAAAGCTTCGTAGAAAAATCCATAACATTCTCAAAATCAAAGCGATTTATGTGTAAAGTTTAAAAG